TCATATGCACCATTAAAATCATGATCTTTAATTCAGTTGTCCATAAGTTATTTTGTGTAATTGTGCACCACTAACTCAATATTTTTGTAAAGTCAGTTATGTTGTGTCTTAATTCATTTAATATGCTTTGGAAAAAAGACTGCTGTAAGATTCCTGGAATTTAGATTCCCACCCTTGTTTTATAAAGTGTATGATTTTTCACACTATTCTCCCTCTGTGTGTGTGTGATGGGACAGTGGTTAGAATGAAGTATTGCAAGCTAATTCTGCTGACTGCCGATTGCAGCAGTTTGGCAGTTCGATTTTCACCAACTCAAGGTTTGAGCTGGCCTCCAAGGCCTTCCATCCTTCCAAGGTTGAAGACCCAGATTTTTTCAGATAATATGCTGACTCTGTAAACTGCTTAGAGAGGGCTGTAAGGCACTGTGAAATGGTATATAAGTCTAAGTGCTGTTGCTAGTGCTAGTGCTCCCACATATACAGGATAACATATCATGATCTAAATGAAGAACGATGATTAATAACCACCACTAAACAGATCACACAGATCCAACAAAGCCACTTTAAGGAATGCAGTTGCCCCTCAAAACATGAAGCTATTTGAATAGAATCAGGATGAGACAGAACTAAGACAAAGCTCTTTAAGTGGGGAATGGCAAGAACTTGCAATGTGACTGTACAAACTATAACACATACAGTATAATTCAAGAATACCTCTTCAGGAAATTTCAAGGCACCTGGGATGATCTCATTGCAACCACATCAAAAGCAGTTAGATGATTAGCTTCCTTAAATATTGAATAGTAAGGTCTATATAATTATTGAAATATAAGTACTGAATAATAACATATATATATATAGATGCTTTATTTAAATTAAATTTGCATATTAGTGATTGCCTGATCTCTGTAAATGCCATATACTAAATCTCTCCCTCTCTCTCATCTCTCTCTCTCTCTCTCTCTTTCACAAACACACACACACACACACGTGCATAAATATTTAAAATGATGCTCACAGAACACAGAAAGATCTTACACAATTCACCACAGCTTCAACAGATAAGGAACTAGAGCAGCTGCCTTAAGGAACCACTTTTGTGGCCAATGACCTCTTGATTCAGTATAGCCAGGGCTGTCTTAACAGCTTTATGGGCCCCAAGCAAAGCAGTGTACTAGGGCCCCTACAACAACTAAGCCATATAGTTGTTGCATTTATATGATACAAGGTGTCTTGAAGGGTTAACATACACAGATTAGTCTGGGGCCCCTATTCTCATGGGCCCACGGGCAAGTGCCCATCAGACCCATGCATTGACACAGTTCTGAGTATAGCACAATCCAACATTTTCAGCTCAATTTATAAGATGAACTACAGTATATTTGGTTCCAATGAGCATTCTTCATCAGGCTCAGAGCATAAATAGGACTCTCTAATATTCTCATTTAGCAAAATATACCTGAAATCACACTTACAGCATATCCCTCAAATCAACAGTCATGTGTAAGTACTAATATAACTTTTTTTTTTCTCTACATAATTTAGGTTGTGAAATCAGCATAACATGCACAATATGATTCAAAATCCATTTGTCATAGAGCAAACCAGAGAGGTAACTAAAACAGAGGTATTAAAGACAGGCAGTAAAATAGATACAAAGTCCTTTAGTACTTGCAAATTAGGAACAATGTATTTCCCAGTTGTTTGGTACTTAATGAGTGGTGTAGAACTCTGAATTTGCTTTCCAAAATATATTTTGAGTGCCATGGTATAGGAACACTGCATCTGTATCACAATATACCACTTGCACCTTTTTTTGTAGGATTATGCAACAAACAACAGCTACATGTTCTGGAAAGCTACATAGTAAATTCCAGCAATATTAAATGAGCTACTGGAATTACAAGAAGGGACCTTAAGTACAGGCTTTTCAATCCTATAACTAAGCAATGTTTATTCATTGAGATTTACATCATATCTTTAGGTAACTCCTAATAACTTCCAGCAAAAAATAATTTAAATTTCATCTTCCTATGAGATAGCCTGGAGAATATCCCTGATAAGAGTGTCTTAGGAGCAGGCCACAAGGGAGACCACAAAAATAATGTTGTATTTTCTATTAAGATTAATAAAGAGATACAAAAAAAAAAGCAATAAACTTCTTAATGTAATGGGGTCATTTCTTATATATAAAGCCTCCTCATTAGATGAGGGTCTCCCCCCCCCCCCGCAATTATGGATTTATATGTAGTTATTTCAGACTATACATTTATGCTTTATTATGCATTTTTAATTATTACTACTTATTTTGATCTACACTGTCCTGTTATATGTTGAATACAGCAGCAATTGATTAAATAAACAACTACGCTATTTCTCTTTCCCTCCCTTTCTATCTCTGTTACTCTCTCTTTCCTTCCCTCTCTCTTTCCCTCCCTCCCCGTTTTCTTTCCCTTCCACTCTCTTTCTGTTTCCTTCCCTCTCTTTTTCTCTTTCTCCCACCCACTTTCCCTTCCCCCCCCTCTTTTCTTCCCTTCCTCTCTTTCCCTCCCCCTCTCTCTCCCTGCTCTGGGGAGGGGGGAAGGAACCCCTGAACTGGTGCTGGATGTTGGGAATCGAAGGCTGATGAGCCCAGGAGCAGCCTGCCGAAGCTCAGCTGGCTGGCAGGGAGGCAGGGCACCCCAACACAGGCAGCTCTGACATCTGGGAGACGAGAATGAGCAGGGTCACATTGTGGCTCCATGTCATAATGGGCTCCAGGAGGAAGATAGGATCCCATCTTCCCATTGTGGAAGTGCACTAAATTTCACTGTGCTGTGCAAGGGGAGGGATGGAGGCAAATGCACTGCCACGAAGGCAGAATGCTGTTTCGCACATTTTTCTTAGACCTGCAAATGATAGTGAGAAACATGATAGATAAATGTGATGGAGCTGGGCTGGGGCATGGCGTGCACGCCCACAGAGAGGGCTCTGCGTGCCACTACTGCTCTAAGTGAAACAAATAATGTACACCAGATAGACAAACCCCAACTTAGACCACAGAATGGGAGTGGGAGAGAAACAGATTTTAAAGGATTGTTTAAACCTTGCAAGATCAGGCTAGTTCAAACCTCCAGGGATAATATTTCATGGTACTAGGTTGAAGTTACTGTAACTTGAATACAATCAAAAGTACTTTGAATCAGATTATTTTTGTCAAGCACAGGAAATCAGTAGTCCAGGCAATTCAAATACGTATAGGTTTATTGTGTGCTAATGCTCTCGACAAAAATCTATAGTATTAATGGTTAAAGCAAATTGGTAATAAATAAGAGTCACGGAATTCAAGGTGGGCTGGATTTCTTGACGGCACAAAGGCATTCAAGACTGACAAAATGCTTAACCCCTCTGCTGCATCTCCTAGTTTTTATTGAATATATCAATCTTTCAATTAGAAAAGGGCAACTGCCCTCAGTGATTCTACTGGATAAATACAGAACTATATTGTATATAATTTATATATATTATAATAATATAATATAAAAGACTTCTAAAAAGTTGAATGAATGGAACTTATCTTTCTAAAAGGTTCAGAGCATGACATTCTCTTAATATCTCATTTCTAACATCCACCATACTTTTATCGAAAGGAATTACAAGTTGGGTTTTTGCTTAATAGCTCATTTAAAGGTGGGCAAATTTTGGATTCAAGCCAAGGGTAAGAGAAGAAAACAAATAATCTTGACCAATGATGAATACAAAGTAGCTGTCTTAATTTCTTTTTATTGTGAGCATGAGATAAACTCTAAAATTAATAAATTTATTTTATAACTTTAGAGTTTTAGTTTACGTTAATTTATATTATTGTGTATGTTTTATTTTTTATTGTATTAAGTAGCTAAATGAAGTCAACAAATCTTATGTAATAAGAATGAATATGTAATATGGTATCTTTAAATTCCTTCAATTTTTCAAAATGAATAGTCACATCTTCATTATTTCTGGCAATTAAATGTCAAAATTAAAAACTACATCGTGTTTTACTGAGAATAGTGCCAAAATTGTTTCAATCATCCAGTTTTCTTCATAAACTATAAAGAAAATGTGTTAAACTATGTTTACCTTTTTACATACTTTTCATTTGAAAACTGACAAATTTCTGATAAAGAGAACAGTCCATTCTTATCCTAAGATATTATTTAGTGAAAACTCTGAAAAAAAGCACATTCTAGAGTTTCTATGGAGATTCTCATCATCCAGGTCATGGTTATATCAAGTGTGTTTTTCAAAAAGCAACTGGACTTTCTTGGCTTTTTCTTTTGAAAATGTTTAAGCTTCATCAGTCCAGAACTAAAGAAGCCTTTTGGATAAGAAGCAAAATATTTTTAAGCAAGAAACAAAGTCCAAGTGACTTTTAAAAAGCATATTTAGGATAAAATTCTAGAATTATTTTTAAGTAAGGAAAAAGGAAAAAAAGTCACTTTCTGTCCTGGCCATAATTCTCCCTCCAAAAGAATATAAATTAATAATTTGTAAAGGAAAGGGGAAATGATTGGTGCTTAGAACTCTCAAAGCTTTCAAAATTAAGTTGTACAATTTCATGGAAGCAATAAAGATTATCTAGTTGTGCCTTGGGACAAATATTTCAGGTAGAAAAGATACCAATGCTTCTATTTTGTGTATTGATGTTAGTTTGGTTAACACAGTAATTAGATGCTGAATTGATTAGATGGCACCCAAAGATGAATGTTGGATACACTTACTGGAATTGATGGTCCTTAATACATTATATAATATTTACAATATTTAAATATTAAACATTATGAAGAGGTGAGTTTAAAAAAATAGAATATAACTTATAGCCTTTCTACCTTTTGTAAGGAAAAAAGTTAATTTTAGTAACTGAGCAACATTAATACTTCTCAACATTTTAACTGTACTTTTCTGTACAAAGACACACACAAAAATCACCTCTTAATCAAGAGCATATTTAGGAAAACATCTGTACCACAACCAACTTACAACTGATCCTGCAGTTCCACAACAATGTACTCAAGTTGTTCCTTTTCCATTTTATGAGCCAGATTCATAGATTCTATCTTCTGCTGCAATGCCTTCTTCTGAGAGATGGATTCAGCCAGCTGAGTGTCTCTGAGGCGTACTAGCTCTTCTAGATAACCCTACAAACATAGATCTCTCATGAACTTTTAGTTTTAAAAGAACTCTGACAACATATTTGATTTGATATAAGGGCTGGATGATATATAACCTATGAAAAAAATAATTCAAATGGACTATATCACTGCTTACATATTAAATGCAGATATTGAAGTTGTTTGCTAGTTACATACATAGTTTCTGTATCTATTTAATGCCCTAGATAGCCAGAATATATAATACGTATGCACTGACAATCTGACTCTCCTTCTAGGCCTTGGGAGAAGGTGATGATTGCTCTTATTTTGTTGTTCATTGTGTAAACTGTAAGCTGTCCAGAATAATTTGCAAACAGGCAGCTTTTAAATTTAAAAATAAATAAATAGAAAGGATGTTTACTTTTCCACTCAGTTGAACCTCAAGAATATCAATTATAGAATACTAAAGCAGAACTGGCAACCAGGCATACTAGCATTTACAACTGAGAGAAAGACTGAATGAAACTTTATGTAAGAATATTATTCTCTCTCTCCAGTCTTTTATAAGGGGTGGATTAGCAAACTTACTGATAGAATTCAAAAATGTCAAAGAACAGAAAATAGTAGAGATCTGCAACTACTCCTTGGAAATTGTCTACAGTATTGAAACAGACCCTGTAAAACAAAACCAACTATCTTTGAAGGTAGAAATTGCACTAGAGGATATTAAAAAAATGAAGCAAGTCAGTAGTAAAAACTTAAATCAAGACTTTTGATATATTTAATAAACAAGAAAAAGGATATAACTTTAAAGAGAAATTAAATAAGTAATCAATAATGGTGACTATATATATTGCATTTTGTCTATATATGTAATATGTATATGTAATAAAAACTGAAATGCTTCACATTTCCTGTATACATGCCTCTTCCATAAATCACAAAGGCATGCTTTTAAAAGCACAATACAAATTGGAAAGATAGAACATAAAATTTTATCTCTGATATCAATGATTAAAGACTTTACTAAGAGACAAATTCCTACATTGCTGCTAAGATTTGCTTGCTGTGCTTTTTCTTACTTTAGGAACAAGAGATAGAATTTGAAAAAGAAAAAGATGAAAGAAAAAGAATAATTGAGGTTTCCTCTACCAAAAGGCTTTATAGCTGCATCTCAGCTTTAATAGAAGCAATAACTTAAGGAATATTATCTGACTAAGAACTACGTCTTGTGTGGCCAAAAACAGTTTTTCTATTACCTTATCCCTAGAACCATACCTAATTAATAAATATTACAATGCTACACAAAATAAATAATAATATTCATTTTGGAAGAGTATTTTTAAAATCAAATCTTTTAATTAGTGTTATTGTAACAATTGTAATATACCAAATATTTTTAGCCACTTTATCTCAATTAATGTTTACCTTTTGTTCCAGAGTGAGGAGGTATTTCTGTTCAACCCGTTTGCATTTGTTGTACCAGCTATTCTCATCCATGCTGAAAGGAGGACCAATGTTTTCTGGAGTACTGCTTTCACTACCACTACTGCCCAGTGTTCTTAGCTCTTCCTCATCACTACTGATGCTGTCAGAACTGAGAAATCAAACTCAAAAGCTAAGAACAATAACTTGCAAAATTTAAATGGAAAAAATGGAATTATTTGAAATTGCTTGTTTTTAGATATCCAAGAGATGGATCTTATCATCATGAATCTGCAGAAATTATTCTACAGCAGGGCTGTCAAACTCATGTCCCATGGGCCGGATGAGTCATATGCTGGCCATGCCCACGCCTGGTTTATCGAAGGGGTGGGGAGAAGTCGGAATATGTCACGTAATGAAACCGTGACGACACGAGTATGACACCCCTGTTCTAGAGCCCCAAAACAAAAGCTAACACATTATCCATTCGCTAAGCCTTTCCTCACTGCTGAGAAGCACTATCTACTTTTTAATGGATCAGTAGAAATTTCCTCTCCCCACTATTGAGCCTAATTCTGTCTCTATTACTCCTGCTTCAAGTAACTGCTATCATGCAGATTACCTCCAAGATAACAGGTACAAAATCTAACAGAATTTACATACTTTTCAGCTACTCTAAGATGGTGTTGAAATACAAAGGGAAAATAGTATTTTAAACCCAGTAAGGGATGATTAAGGATGGTTTAAGCTTGTTCACATATTTGGGCTATTACAGGTGTAAATGAGAAAATGAATTACGATTCTATGATCCAGAACAGATTCTCATATTGTACAGATACTGGATGGTTACCTTTACATAGAACTGGTATATAATTACTACTTCCTATATCTTCTATCATTATATCTATGATCAACGTATCACTTTTCTTTCTAACATCTGTCAACTTGTCTTCTATATTAAACTAAGTTCAAGAAATATTTTCTTCTACCAGTAGTTGAAGTAAAGAAAGAAAAACATTACAAGATCATAGAATAACAGAGTTGGAAGGGACCTTGGAGTCTAACCCCCTGCTCAAGCAAGAGAGTCTATTCCAAATATTAGCCTCTACCTAGGACCGAACTCACAGCCTCCTGATTGTGAGGCAAGAACACTACCTCTAGGCCACATATTTATGTGACCAAACAGAAAAATGGGAGGTAGGGAAAGAGAGTTGTAACAGATTTGTCTGCATATATATTAAGGCAGGAGTACACTGGCATACACAACACATGCTGGTCTTATAGTGTATCCTTGCATATGGTATAAGCCTCTCAGAGAATGTCTTTGTCTATCTACAGGATTGATGAAAAAAGCTAATTTACACTAATATTTATAATAAATACAATGGCCACAGGGAAATGACTCTGAGGAGTCAGTCCTTCAACCACTGTGTTCTACGGTTGGCCATGAGAAAACAATTCATTTGTGATACATGTCATATTCCAATAAAAACATTTTCAATGGCATTTGGAACTCCTCCTTCCTTCATTCTTTCCCTTCCCAATGTCACAAAGTATTAAAAACAATATGTGAAATAAAAACAATACAAAAATATATATTATAAGAAAACTTTAAAGCACAGATGGACTTTACAGACTGAACAGATACCTTTGGGTGAATTTCAGATATGGTGTATAATCTATCACAGCTGGATAGTTGCCATCCAAAGCTTCACCTTTAAGGCAGAAACTGATGTGGAGTGAGAAATAAGAAATTAAGAACATTAAAACATATTGGTATTGAATAATATCAGCACTTAATTCATTTTTTCCACAAAATCACCAATGCAAAACTTATGTAAGAACAAGTTTTAACATGAGAAAATTCAACTTTAAATGTGGATTCTTACATACCTAGCAATCAAAATGTCATTCTGGAGTTTTTTAAGAACATTTTTTCAAAAGGTTGTTTTTTATGATTTTATATGTACTGCAGCAGAATTCATTACGTTTTCAGGAAAGCAAAATATTTGATCCTACAATCTTCATAGATAAAATCAAAGAAAAATGACAACGAAGTTGCCACTCATTATCACTAAGCAGCCACAGCTTATAAAATAGAAGGCTTTTAATCTCAGATTGAAATTCTTCATATAGAATAATTTTGAAATGTAATTATAATTTATAATGCAGCTCTACATGAGCAAGTCTTGGGTGAGATCCTGAAAGATAAACAGGATCAGAATTGGTCAGTGCATGAACAGGAGACTATCAGTAAATACCAAAACTATAGGTTATATGTAGAAATAATTAAAATTCTAGAAGAAATAAATGGAAAACTAGTTTTGTGATATTGCACAGAACAACATATGGATATGCCTATGTCATCACAAGCAGTCAAACATGTGTCCACCCTAGATGAGTTCAAATCATCAGGACCAGATGGATTACACCCCAGGGTTCTGAAGGCACTGGCAGACATGATCTCAGAACCACTGAACTACATATTTCAAAAATCCTGTAGCACCAGGGAACTGCCAGAAAACTGGAAAAGAGTTGATATAATTTTCATCTTCAAAAAAGGGAAAAAAATATACCCACAAAACTACAGACGTATCAGCCTGACCTCAATATCTGGGAAAATTCTGGAAAAGATAATCAAGCAATGAAATCAGAGAACACCTAGAGGCAAACAAAGTCAAAGCCAATATGGGTTTGTCAAAAACAGATCATACCAGACAAATCTTATTGCATTTTTTGACAAAATGACAAAATTAGAGGACCGGAGAAATAGTATGGATATAATTTACTTGGCCTTTAGTAAGGCATTTGATAAAGTAGACTACAACCTACTACTTGATAAAATAAAAAACTGTGGGTTAACAGCATCACCACCAGAAGGATTTGTAACTGGATGACCAACCACACTCAACATTTAGTCCTCAATGGAACTCCATCTACATGTAGGGAAGTATGCTGTAGGGTATTCCAGGGATCTGTTTTAGACCCAGTACTCTTCAACATCTTCATCAATTATTTGAATCAGGGGATAGATGGGGAATTGATCAAATTTGCAGATGACACCAAGCTGGCAGGAATAGTCAACCCTCCAGAAGATAGGCTTAAGATTCAGAATGATCTTGACAGACTTGTACGTTGGGCATTATTTAACAAAATGAAATTCAGTGGTGAAAAACTGCATTTAGGCAAGAAAAACCAAACACACAGGTATAGTATAGGTGGTACCTGATTCAATACTAATAACTGTGAGAGGGATCTTGAGAGTCCTAGTGGACAATCACTTAAATATGAGCGTGTGCTGCAGCTTCCAAAAAAGCCAACATTTCTAGGCTATATTAACAGAGGGATAGAATCAAGATCACATGAAGTATTAATGCCACTTTATAATGCCTTAGTAAGATCACACTTGGAATACTGCATCCAGTTTTGGTCGCTACAATGTAAAAAAGATGTTGAGACTCTAGAACAGTGGTTCTTAACCTTTTTGAAAGAATCGCCATTGAAGAAGTTATCATCGTCCGCCCCCCCCCCCCCCCCCCCAGTTCAATCACAACACAGGGAAATAATTCTTCTATTTATGCAAATAATTCTTCTATTTTTGTTTTCTTTAAAATTGTCATCAGGACATATTGGTGCAAATAATTTATTTCCAGTCTTTTTCCCATATCTCAACTGTGTGAAAAAAAAATTTTTTAAATAAAGTTTTATTTGGATTTTCACACATACAAAATACAAGTAAAACATCTTTTTTGAAAATAGCATGGTCCCGGGGTTGAACTTCTTTATACAGACACAAAACTCAATTTCATGCTCCTTTTTGTATTCTATTCCATATCTTATACTATTTTACATTTTCTGTATAGTTTTTCCCCTCTTTTAATTTTCTCAATTTTATTTTGATTATCTCATCTCAATTATACTTTTGTCTGTTCTGTTTCAATTTCATATTATCTTTTCTCATTAAACAAATTGTATTCTGTAGTTACTAATTGAAGTATAACATCTTTATATCTTTTAATTACATCCATTCAACTCTTATTAAAACTTCAATATATACCTTAAGGTTATGACCTTCAATATAATACATAACTTCCAATCGAATTCTGCTTGGTACATTCTTATAATACACACTATATTCTTAAAAAAAAATTGTAAATATATGTAATTATAAACCCTCATTCCATTCCAGTTTAGTTCTATCATTAATAATCATTGAAATCTTAACATCTTTAACATTTCTTTTCAATTAAATATCATACTTCCTTAAAATCACATATAATCTCCATAATTAATTTTCCCTTATTTCTCTTCACACGTTTTATAAATTATTAAATATACATTTTATTACATTTATTTATTAACAAGCATTCCACTGAATTACGATAGCTATTTTATCAAACATTTTAATCATACATTGTTTCATATTTTCTAAAATTATTTCTGTTTCTAATATAACCATACTATCTTATGTACCTTTGCAGAAGCCCTTTTTCCATTAAATTTTCACCCCTTATCTCTAAATAGGCCCTGTTTCTCTATATTTTATTTCTGTCCTTTATTACTTCTTTTCCTTTCTTTCTTCCCTCTCATCTTCTCCCTCCCCCTTTTACCCCCTTGTCTCTCTAGTTCTAATTCTCTCTTCTGCATTTCCCTCTTCTGTTACTTTCTGATTTTATACTTATTTTTCACTCTATTTTTTTTGGAGTTGTTTTTCTCAATCTTAAACTTTCCTTTCTCTCCTTCCTCCCCCTTTCCTTTTTTCCCCCGATCTAAGATTACTTGGTCATTAAAGATGGCTTCTTCTTTGTCGCAATCTTCTTGTTCTGCAGGCATTTCTTGTTGTTTCTCATAATTCCAAATCTCCATTTCTAAAAACTGAAATACGAAGCCAAAAAAACCTCTCCCTTCTTGTGCATCTTCTTTGTACTTTTTAAGTTCCATTTTCAGTTCTTCTAAAAGTGAAGCCATTTTAAACAGTTTTAAACAACCACCCAATTGATTTTAGTCATTCAAAATAATAACCAAGAATCCAGAAATCATCAAGTAATCCAAATAGTCCCGAGTTATATCTTCTTATTTCTTTTTTGACTTTCCCTTCCTGGGGTTTTTGTTTCAGTTAGAATGTATCTTTTGGAAATCTTGTTGAGATTTTGCTGTAAGTTCTTTTTTAATTCCAGGCAGTCTCCTCCCTTCCAGATCCTGCCCTTTTATTCACTTTCTCTCCTTTCCTGTTTTCAAATGCTTTTAATTATCTAGAAATCTTTATTATCCCTTTGACTTATTTTCAGCATCAAATGCCTATTGATGTCAAAGTGAATTTTTTCCCAATTTCTTACTTAAGTCTCTTAGCTGCCAGTATAGGAAAAGGAGGGGAAAAAAACCCAAATCTCTTCACTTTTCTCTCTCCTTCGCAGCTTAAAAATCTTCTTAGGGAACAATGTTATTGTTTTTTAATAGTTTCAATTCCAGAGTACCTTATTTGTTGCTTTTGCTGTTTGACCCGGTCAACCAAAACTTTCTCCTCTTATCTTCCTCCTGCACATTCTTTTCCGGTTGAGTTCTTCTTTGTGGTGGCCATTTCTGACCACCGCTGCAACTGCCTTTGGGAAAGGGAGCAATGACCAGCTGGGGAGGAGAGATGCGGCTTTCCTCAACCCTGCAGGTAGTCTCCCCCTTCTTCACCACCTCTACGGGGTGGCTTAGCCCCAAAACCAGCCGGCTCGGGACGCTCCAGCGGCGAGCACAGATCAAAGCCTTGCAGAGACAAGGTTTTGGTCTGTCGCTGAAGAAGCTCAAACCGGAAGCACTGTGTGAAAAATTCTGGTGCCTCCCATCACTTTACTCCCAAACTTCGTGATACAAGTATTTCATTATTATCTTATTTATTCAAGACACTTAAATGCAATGACCACTGAAAACAAAATTCAATTGCAAGAAAATGAAATACCCCCCCAAACCAGTAACATTTAATGATTTAATTACAAGTTAATTTTAAGATGCAAAAAAACATATAAAAAGGGCATACGAACAAACTGCAATGCAGGAACTAAGAATTTCAAGATGAAAACTCTGAAACTAAAGTAAGATTAGAGGAAACTATATATTCATGCACACAGGGTTAAAAAGACACAAAGAAATTTTTTACAGAACATTTTAAAACACAGTTCAATCCGCTAATAGCGAGCAATCTGATGTTTTTGTACGACACATATACAGCTGTTCACTGTACGAAAAAAGTCTCAGAAGTGTCCCCAAAACTTCTCGCTCCATCGCCCTCATATCACCCCACTTCCATTCCTTCACCCCCGCGTTGCCCCTTTTCATTCTATCACCCCCCTGAAAAACAAAATCGCCCCCTGGGGGGCAATATCGCCCAGGTTAAGAACCACTGCTCTAGAAAGAATACAAAGAAGAGCAACAAAGATGATTAGGGGACTGGAGGCTAAAACATATAAAGAACAGTTGCTAGAATAGGTATGTCTGGTTTAATGAAAAGAAGGACTAGGGATGACATAACAGCAATTTTCCAATATCTAAGGGGTTGCCACAAAAAAGAGGGAATCAATCAACCTATTTCCCAAAGCACATGAGAGCAAAACAAGAAGCAATGGATGGAAACTAATCAAGAGAGAAGTAACCTAGAACTAAGAAGAATTTACCTGATGGTTAGAATAATTAAACAGTGGAACAATTTGCCTCCAGAACTTGTAAATGCTCTGACACTGGAAGTTTTTAAGAAGAGACTGGACAATCATTTGTCTGAAATGGCATAGGGTTTTCTGCCTGAGCCCTGAAGGTCCTTTCCAACTCTGTTATTCTATATTCTAAAATTTTACTTCCATCAAATAAATAAACACATGTACTAATTTTAAATATGACATTTTGACATGATAGTCAAAACCTTTATTGAGTTAATTACAAAATCAATTATATTTTACTAAATAAAATTATAATTTCATTTCACTTTCACAAGAATGAATACCTGAAATCAATAGCATTGAGTCCAAGCAGCATGCCAGCTAGCATATTTGCTTCTTCTCCCAATACAATTGCTCCATCTTCATAGAATCTTCTAGAAAAAGATTAAATTCTAATAAATATATTCTCAATTATTTAAATAACATGCCAAATACTCAAGTATGATGGTGGTTAATGCCAACAGCTACCAAATTTTAATTTATATTGCTAAGAAAACTATTCATTTGTACACTAATTTAAATGACCCACTCTATTTATACATATCAAGGATATTATGCAGTGGTGGGATTAATTTTTTTTTACTACCAGTTCTGTGGACATGGCTTATTTGGTGGACATGGCTTGGTGGTCATGTGACTGGAGTGCTGGTGGTCATGTGACTGGGTGGGTGTGGCTTGATGGTCATTACTGGGTGGGCGTAGCTTGATGGTCATGTGACTGAGTGGGCATGCTGGGTGGTCATGTGATTGGGTGGGCGCGGCCAACTTGACATCACTCATGTCAAGGGGTGCCTTGCTGGCCTCTCCTCACCTCAGAGATACAATTTCCCTCTCTATTTATTTACTAGTACTGAACATCCAAAATACACTCTTTAATCCTATGTATATATACCATATGTGTACATACATATTACACATTATAGTGTGTGTAAAGGCACACAAAAAGATACATTATCTACTATACTGTATGTGTATGCGCGCGCGCGCGTACGCACACACACACACACACACACACACACACACACACAGAGCTCTTCTAAAACTATACACATTCAATCTCACTGCATTTGGAAAAACACACTCATAGTCCACTTTCTGCCACACATTTAACTATAACTTCTGTACATTAGAACATTGCACATGCCTTCAGATTTACTTCCCTAGCCTGCACATGACTATTAGGCCCAGGAGATGTCATGGATTGAGTAAAATGTGGTGAAACTCACTTAACAATGCTCTTGCTTAGCAACCAAAATTTTGGGCTCAATTGTGCTCATAAGTGAAGGGCTATCTGCCTTCCTTTGCATGGCAGCCTTGTCCTAGTAAACTCCTCTGCCAATTTTCCTCTCCGTTAGAGGCACCAAAATAATCCAGATTCCAGATTATATAAAGTCTCCTGCTGGAGCAGGGGGTTGAACTAGATGGCCTCCAAGGTCCCTTCTAACTCTGCTGTTCTATGATTCTATAAAGATCTTCTGCTGGAGCAGGGGGTTGGACTAGAACAAGGTTCTTCAAAATTTCTCCTCCAGTCATGTTAGCTCAGAAATTCTGGTAGTTGAAGTCCACAAGTTTTAAACTTGCCAAGTTTGAAGACCCTTGGACTAGAAGATGACCTCCAAGATCCCTTCCAGCCCTAGATTCCTGTGCTATTTCAAAGAGTCTTCTGAAGCCAGGGTTTGTGTCCTTCCTTCCTTTCCTTTTTTTCTCTCTCCCTCCCTCCCTCTTTCCATGGATCCATCTGTCCATCCATATATCTCATTCACTTTCTCCTCCCTCCCTCCTGCTCTTTCTTTCTTTCTCTCCCTTCCTTCCATCCATCCCATCTTTCTTTGTCTATTCCTTTCTCTTTCTTTCTCCCTTTTTCTTTCTTTCCCTTTTCTTTCTTTTTTGTCTCTTCCTTATCTCTCTTTCTCTCTCTGCCCCCTCTTTCTCTCTCTTTCCCTCCCTTTTTCTCTTTCTCTCTCTCTTTCTACCCCTTCCCTTCCTCCTCCCTCTCTCCTTCTAAAGCTAGCAGAGGAGATCCATCTGAAACAAACACACATATGCTTCCAAGCACTCACCTGAAACAAATACACACACACACACACAAACTTTCAAATGCCTGACAAGATCACTCCTTACGAAGGTTCTTCCTGGCCAGTCTCCGGTCCTGTGTTGCCTGGAAAAGCCGGCAGGCAAGGCTTCCGGGTCCAACAAAGGAGCTCTGGGTGGGACATCCTCTCCTCCCACTTTGGGGGAAAGAAAAGGGCTGGGAACTTAAAGCGAGGCATGTGCTGCAGCCTCACACACCCTCCCACCACTGGCAGCTCTGGGCTAGGGAGGGGTTTGACTTTCCTGACTGCCTGAAACTTTACATTTCTCCCACAGCTGGTGGCAGAGGGAAAGGCAAGCCAGCCAGGCCAGAGACTTTGCCACTTGGCTCCCTGCCAGCCCACACCTCATCCCCTGCCTGGATTCTCTGGCAGTTTCTGGGGCTCACCTGCTGGGAGGCGCAGGGGGAGGTGACCAGGAACCACGAGGCTATTTCCAGGACAGCCACCCCTACCTCGCCGAACGAGCATTTTGGTAGTTGTTGGGGGGGTGGGGGAGCTTCATTTGTTCAACTTCTACCTATCCCACCATTAGCCACCACAAAAAAGGAGGAGGTTAATATGGCCTAAAAGAAACAAGAGCGGCAGGGAACATGCGAGAAGCGAAGCCAGAAAGCAAAGCCAAGTCCACACTCCCACACAAAGCCCCTCACCTGCCCCGCATGCTCACCCCCCCACCCCGCACTTCAATCCCACTGTTTCCTTGGTTCCCCAACCTTCTTTCCACACAAACTTCCCTGTGACCCCACCAGTGAGCTGTTTAGTTACAGCCTCTTTGGGCAGTGAGGAGTGTCGATGATACCCAGAAAGGTGGGAAAAGGTTGCAATCTCACCCTTTTTCCTAGCACCCACCCACACCTGCGAGTACCCTAGTCCTATTAACCTGCCATTCTTCTTAAAGCTGAGCAATCCTACTCTTCGGTGAAACACGCCTCTCCCTGCCAGCCTGCATCTCATCCCCTGCCTGGATTCTCTGGCAGCTGCTGGGCCTCATCTGCCAGGAGGCACCAGGAGGGGTGACCAGGAAGCATGAGGCTACGCCTGAATCGTCCCTCAGCCAGCCACCCCTCCTTTGTGGGGCCAAGCATTTTGGCAGAGTGCGGGCCGCCGCTGTAAGAGGTCCATGGGCTGGAAGGTACGGCTGATGGCAGGAAGGAAGATCTGCTTTGGAGAGGCTCAACTACCTTTCAGACCCTGCTCTGGGCTGCTGCCTGCTTGACCACCACCCTGCCTTGGGTCATCAGCCGGCAAAAAGGGGACATGCTGCTTCCAGGCCAGCCAGCCAGTGGAAGGGCAAGCAGACGACCCTCGGGGGAGGCATTTTCTCTCAGGCCTCCCACATGGAAGGCCCCACGGAAGTCAAAGCTAGGCCCAAAAGGCAGCTGAGCCTTGCCATGCCCCTCCTGGAGCCCTTTGGCTGATCATAACGAACTCAGTGTGGGTCTTCGTTCCCCACCATCAGCATTAGGGCTCACTCACAGCATTCTCAAAGTGGCTGCCTGCACTCTCCCAAAGTACGCAGGTCGGCAGTCGTGAGAAGGGGCAGCAGACAAAGGTTGTGATGCAAGCGGCATAGCATCATGCTCCCTGGTCATCCAACCTCCCCAACCGCCCCTAGCAGGAAAGGCCCAGCAGCTGTGGAGAATCCAGGAGTGGGATTTGGGGGTTCTCTGAACTGTGCAAAATCTTAGCTAGATCTCCCAAACCCCTGTGGACCCACAGCAGCCCACCCCTGTTTAACAATGAATATAAATACACGTTTTCACTTTATTCCCTTCCATGGAAGTTATCATTTCCTAACTAAATTTGATAAAGAACAAGAACTGGAAATTTTAAATAGTGACTTTAAAAAATCTACTTTATTTAACAAAATACCTGGTTGTTTTGAAGTCTCTCAAAGCTGCCGAAATATATTCAGACAAATGTTTTTCCATAAGTGCTACTCTAATCCAAGCTCTTCCCTGAAAGCCAAAAATAATGATATAAATATTATTAAACAGAAATCTGGTTCAATTATTCAGTCTCTGAAACCCAAAATGAATAACAAAATTATCATACTTCATTGTATTCATATTTATTTCTGTAGAACGCAATGGCTTCACTTTTATTGTACTTGCCAAATTATTTTAACTATTTTGTTTATTTCTATACCCATTTCTTAATTATCTGTATAGAAATATATTCACATATGTATTTCAAATGAGGCAATTATTTGAATGAAATAGTAGAATAGAGTGTATCATTCAGAGAACAGTGGGAACAGGTCATATTTTAAACTACTGTATATTTTTATGTTTTATTATAGAACCAACAAACAAGAAAAATACAGACATATTAATATAATGCAATGTAAGATTAATAACTATAATAATAGAAAACTGGAGGGGAAATAATGGGGAAAATCATAAATATAACACGTGCATACCCTTAATCAAACTGGTCAAAAGTCTTCATTGAGTCTTTCTTAAAAAAATAACATTAATTCACTTTTTTCAATTATTACATTTTTATCTTTTTTTTCACTTTTATATCTTGCCTTTTCATTTAAAACTCTCTGGGGGGGAACCCTGAATGTAGCAAAATGGGTAATAGAATGTTTTGTTATATTAGTATTCTGAACAATTCTTCATAAAACCTCACTGCATGTGAAATCAAGGTTGTTCATCAAGTTGTCTCCATTGTCATGTTCCTAAAATGCTCCAATTTCTTCAAGATTAAAATATCTTGAACAAAAAATAGTTATAACTATTATATTTTAATAAACTTTTCAGTAAATAAGAACTAGATGAAAATATTCTATTTCGATATTTTATCTATATGATTTTCAAAGTCTGTAAGTATATTTTTGCATTTCAAATATTTACATATATGTTTACTTTAACTAGTTAAGCTTAAGGCTAAGCAAAGGCCTTCTACTACATTTCTTTCCACCAGTACATAAATTTTCAGGTCATACATTTTTTCTAATATTTGTAGAATTATAAATGCTCATTCCTATCTAATATTATCAGAAGCTCATATAAATTATAGTTCCCATTTACATTTTATTTATTCATTTTAGTGAACTGAACATATTCAATTACATAGCACTGTAAACCAGACCTGTATTCACAGTCCTTCGTTACAGCAGTAATAATAAGCTATTATTTTATTTAGCATGAACACCACTAATTTTTCCACTGTTCATTATGGCAAATGGAACTGTGCTTCCTTTTCGACATTCCTTAAAGTTTTATTCTTGGCTTATTCGGAATTTGTAATTCCTCAGCATGATCAAAAATGGAAAGATTTCTTGTGCGTCTGATTACATTTGGCCAATAAGAAATTCTACTCTACTCTACTTTATTCTCTTTTGAACAATACAAACACATAGCAAGAGGAATGTTAAAATTCTCACCCTAGCTCTTGAAGAGGCAACATTTTCCATATTCTCAATGCTACAGATGCAGTTATATGAAACCTTGCGACAAGCCACCTTAATATAATCCCAGAAAGTACGAGGGCTTTCATACCCAAACCAAGTGATTTGACCTGAAAAATCAGAGAATAGAAAGAGATTAATCATTACAATAAAGTGTGCATATCATAAAATATTTATAAATTATATGAAGTGATTCTTTGATGAATTATAAAAACCTAGGTGTATAAAACAAATGTCTTTAAACAACATTTAAATTATCAACTTTGGGGAGCTAATGAGCATTTAGAATTTTGAAATTATGATAAACCACTCTTAATAAATGGCATCTTGTGGAAACAACAGTCCTATACGAGAAAGCAAATTGGTAGACTGTGTCACATTCCTCAAGACTCTCAAGAGTATTTTTATGACTTTGATTTGCCTGTGGAAGATTAGTCTATACAGTCTATAGCCTACTATTATTTTTATTTTCTAATAATCTTTCAAAAGTTCAATTTGCAACTTAGTTATGTTCAGCTGGCAATACAACTTCCATTCAGAAAAAGAACTGAAAATCCTAGAATCTCAAAACTTATTTATAACAAACATATATAATTACACCAAACTAAAGCTCATTATATTTGCAAAAAAAAGTATATTCTAGAAGATGGTCTCTTCCACAAAACATGTAAAATTTCATGTACCAGATTTTATGTACCTTTGAGCCGATGGCTTAGAATTTGTTCCAAAATAGCTGCAAAATTATTGAATTCAGGATAAGAATCATCAATAGTTTCGAAGCATGAACGATCAATCAGTGTCTTGATAGAAAACCTTAAAAAATACATAATTTATATATATATATATATATATATATACACACACACACATACATACACAAGCTTTGAAGCATTTATATATAAATATATATATAATTTTTATTTATATAATACATTATAAATACAAATATTTACACATATATAAAATACAAACAAAACACAACATAAAAAAACAAAAAAAGGTCAAGAATCAAATGGATGAAGGTGAAAAGTGACACATTTATAAGAAAGGTGATCTATAATTTTTCAAGAACAGAAATAATAATAAAATACAACAACCTCTATCTAAGTTTAAATGTCTTAAGTACAACATTTTAAATAGTAGTATGTAATATTTAAAAAACCCAAAATTCATGTATTCTTAGTTTTACTTGAACTATTTAATTACTGTATTTAATATACAAACATATTAACTATAAACAAATCAGAACCATATATATAGCAATCCACAATATTTCTCTAATTAAATCCAATCTAATACTCAAACCTCAACATCAAAACTTAATTTTTTCCCTTTTTCTCACAGAAATTCTCAATGGTCAGTTTCTAAAAACAAACTGATCAAGGTATCAAACAATTGTTCTAATAACAGATTGTTTGTGCCCTAATATAAACTAAAATGTAAACTAAAATGTAATTTCAGAGCTGTATAATTTTTCATTACAATATTTACAGTAATATGAAGATGTTAGTTTATCAAAGGTTTTACACTAAAATTGTTTGAAATTAATGTTTTCATCATATTGCCTTGAAATATGTTTAGGTAAGTCTAAGTACCAAATAATTTCCAAGTGCTATATAAAGCTAGTTTGATTCCTGTAGAATTTACAGTATTTCTATCCTTTATTTCATTCATAATCTATAATGTGATTTCATTTTATCATAATGAAAAAATATAGCATTTAATGAAAATAAGAATGAAACTGCAACCTTGTTGCACCTTCTACTTATTTAACATGGTTTAGGAAAAACATATTTCACATTTAAATAGTTTTTCTAAAGTCACACCTATCATTGTGACATACTCATGAATAGTTATGAATAGCACTGCTCAGTATTTTTCCTACTGGCCTAGGTTTACCACATTACGCAGAAGATTTTATATTCTTTTAAAATAAAGTGTTAAAAATCTAGGAACCCTTTTATTTTTCAATATTTCTATATAAATATGACCCAAAACGTGGCTTATTCTCCACACAAAACTTAAATGAGATAGAGAATCCAATTAAATAAATCAGTCAGAAGTATTCACCTTCATTCATGAAAAATATTATACTTGTTCATTGATTTATTTTATGAAGAATTTTGCTGAAAATGATCCAAAGTGACATATTTATTTGCAATAATTGTACATAAATATTTCTGATAACTGTTGATCAGTCCTGCACATGGGCTTGAAAGCCCTTTTTATCTTACAGAACAGCTTCAATTCAAGAATGTTTGTTGGTTTCTTTGCACAAACTGCTCACTTTAGATTTTTCCATAACATTTCTATAGGATTAAAGTCAGGACTTTAATGTCGCTATTCCAAAGCATTTTTTCTGCTTTAACCATTTTTGACTTGTGACTTGTGTGCTTTGGGTCATTGTCTTTTGAGCTTCAATTCAGACATTTGCCCCAACATTTTAGTGTAGAATTTAGTTCAATCAGCGATGGCAAACTGTCATGGTCCAGAAGCAGCAAAGCAGACTCAAACAATGATCCTGTCACCAGCATATTTCAATATTGAGTAAGGTTCTTATGCTAAAATGCAGTATTGGCTTTCAGAAAATGTAACACTTTTCATTCAAGCCAAAAAGTTCTATTTTGTATCATTCATCCACAGAATGTTTCCTATAGAATTTAGCTTAGTCATTACCCTGAAGTTCTTTGATACCTCCCAGTGGATAATACACTTCACTCTTGGTATGATCGTGTTTTTTTTACCATTCCTGGGGAGGGTTAACAATAGAGTTGAATTCTTCATCTGCCTGATAATAAACTAGTAGAAATCAAACTCTTTGAAAACAGTTGCTTTATTTTTCCAAGCTGGTAAGTATCAACAATTATTTTGGAGGTCTTCAGAAATCTTTGTTCATATCAGAACATGTTTCTTTATATGGAAGGTCAGATTTGGAGACTGAATAACCACAATGTTGTTCTTTAAATAAGGCATGACCTTCCTCACACCTGTATCATCCCATACATTAAAACACCTCATTCTAATTTCCCCTTCAAATGAAATGATTATCCTAAAGCACACCTATTTTTGCTACACATAAATATGTAGCAGTAATAGAAGACAATATTACATGTAGCTCAGATTTGAACTGTGGAATCTTTAGTGCTCTCTGAGTTTTCTTGCAGACATTTCATTACCAAACTAAGGAACATCATCAGTGCTGCAAGGAATTGGAGTTTGCTCTCATTTTTTATATACTAATAATGGCTTGTCTGTCAATGTTGGTGGGAGGCTTCTTGGTTAGGCTGTTGTTTAATATTAGCTTGTTTGTCTCCATTGGTAGTTCCTTGATTGGGATATTGTTTACGTTTTAATTTTTAAATTTCTGCTCATAAGCAGGTTAATTGCTGATGAGGAGGCTTTTATTCCTTTGGATCATTTTTTCAATAAATTAATCAAAAACATATTTGTTCATTTATCTTTTAAATTAATTTTTTTCATCTAGTTTTAGAATTTGTTTGGAGAGTAGATCATGCTTTAAGTCATATTTATGAAGAAATATTGAAAATTCCAAAAGGCTCACAAAACTTTTAAGCAGGACTGAGTGTGCATCCTAGGGGGCAAAATATGTATATTTCCTTAACCCACCAAACCTGCCTCTGAGAGATAATATAAGTTCACTGGTTCTATTTCCTTTTTATTGTCCATTAACAAGCCCTCATTTTTTTTGAAAGATGAACACGGCAATGGAAAACTGTCTCTACTCATGAAAATTCCTACAATGTTAACAAATTAACCATGATAGTCTTGCCCATCTCAGGATTTATTTATTTATTCATATTATTTGTAATTTCTTACTGAATAAGGAAACTTAGGAAATATATTAGTAAAATAAAAACAAAATTTAAACAATCTAGATCGTTTTCACACAAACAATAAAAATAGATGACCATATAAAAACAACACGAGAAAGCATAAAGTATCTTCATTTGAGCATCCTTTTCCTTTTTCCTCCCTCCCTCCCTCCTTCCCTCCCTTCCTTCAACAATAAATCATAAAGTGAACTTGACTGGCTTTATTAATAATAAGAATATGAAATATATTATTTGAAATAGCATATAATCCACAAGGATCTCTTATAACAAGTTTCTAAAGCGTGAAACTAAATTAAGAGGATTCAAAGGAAGACATATTATATCAGTATTTTGTAATTCTAATTTAAATAGTAGATGAATACCATAGATCAGTGGTAACCAATCGGTGGGCTGTAGACCACTGGTGGTCCGTGAGAAAATCTTGGTGATCCCTCAAAGCACCCCCCAAAGCAATTAATCCAGGCTGCGCAGGAACACAAGGTTGCGCTGCCCACATGGCCTGTGGGAATACAAGGCTTGTGTTGATTGCATTGCAAACAACACGAGGTAGTGAGGGGAGGGGGGAAAGGCGGAGGGGGGGAACTTGCCAGCGGCAGTGGTAGAGTTTCAGTGCTTGGCTGGCAGGGACCCAGCCATGGCACATTGTCTGCTTTTGGCTGCATGCAAGGAAAGCAGCAGAAGTCTTCCTTTCTCTCGCACAAAGTCTGCCAGAAATGAGTCTTTCTGCTCCAAGGCATCCTGCTCCAAGAGGCTGCACCATTCTGGCAGAGTTTGGGGGAAAAAAAGAAAGACTTCTACTGCTTCCTTTGCATGAAGCCAAAAGTCTCCCCCCCACTCCCCGAGGACTGAGCTGGAGATGGTATCCTGTGATCCCAAAAATTGGTAGGAAAACAGGGTGGGGAATTTTTCCTGCAAACTTTTTGGGGGATTTTCCCAGGTTTTCTGCTGCTTCTGCTTTTTCTGCAGAGAGCCTGGGAAAAACCCCCCAAAAGTCTGCAGTTAAATCCCCCACCCCGTTTTCCTACCGATTGATCGTTCTTTACTTGGGATCACAGGATATTGTCTCTCTCCCCTCCCCCCGAAGGACTGAGCTGAAAAGCAGGTTAGTGAAGGAATTTGGCTGCCTTGGAGGGGTGGGGGGATGTGAGGGACTTGTGTGTGTGTGTGTGTGTGTGTGTGTGTGTGTGTGTGTGAGAGAGAGAGAGAGAGAGAGAGAGAGAGAGAGAGAGAGAGAGAGAACATCACTGAAAGCCCTCAGAAGTTAGATCGTCTCTCTCTCTCTCTCTCTCTCTCTCTCTCTCTCTCTCTCTCTCTCTACCTTCCCCCCAGCAGCAGTTTCAGTGCTTGGCCGGCAGGGATCCAGGACATGGCACATCGCTTGCACTTTTTGGCCAGAAATGAAGTGGCCCGGGGGTCAAGCGAGGCGTGTGGGGGAAAAAAGTAGGACACCCCTTGAAAAGATGGCCTAACCGCTTTTTGGGGGGTCAAAAGAAAATAAAGCCCTGCCTTATTTTCTAAGAAACAAGTAGAAGGTAAGACCAATAGCAGGGGAGGAAAATCCACCCTGAGGTGACCTGCTGATGTTGGTGGGAAAGTCAGTCCCATATTCCAGATCTGCAGTAGTCACAGGACTGGCCTTTTGATCATCCCAGAGCAACTCAACTTCCAAAGCTTTGGGGAGTTTTGTTTTCCACCAGTACTCATCTGTTTTTCTTTCCTTCACTGGATCAGGTTTCTCTGCTTCAGCTGTAATTATATCATCAGCTTCTGTTTGCGTTTGGGTTGCTTGGAGCAAACTCTCCTCTGATAATCCCCCTTCTGCCATGTCCCCCTGACTTTCTCCCTCCGCATTCCAGATGTTGGGAAGCGATTGAAGAGGCCAGGCATCAGGTGTCCTGGTAATGATGATGAATTATGTGTCTCAGAGTCGGCTAGCTGTCAGGATTCCGGCAGTTACCCCCATTTAAATCATGAGTCTCAAGCCAAACTTTCAAAACCTCAAAAGGATTTATTGGGAGTTAAAATGTCTGGCAGGGCCTGGGTGCAGCCAACTCTGAGACACATAATTCATTGTCACCCTTGACCCTGATTTTCCCCCACCCCTGGGTATATCATATTTCATATTCTCCAATGGGACACATCCATACCCAAGAGTCACCGATCATGCTCTCCAGTTAGAATTTTGCACGGCAGAAACTTCAGTCACTTAGTTATTATTTTTGAAAACATTTATGGAATGCACTTTTAGTTTGCAAGCTGCCACACTTCTCCCCACCTCCCTTTCTGTTGGCAACTCTAAAAAGACCATAGAAATATTTTATGAGTTGACACATGCCTGGGATTTTTCAGGCAATCCTGACAGTATTAACTTTCACTTTTAACCAGTCATATATTTTCCCTTCATTATTGTATTGTTTCTCTAAAAAAATCCATTAAACAGGTGTAGTTGGAAAAGATCTGCAATAGCTTTTAAATCATAATACTGTTCTAAAAGGGCTCTGCCTGGAATCACTAAGAATAGTGACAATAATGCTGGGAAAGTGAAATACTTGGAAGTACTTGATAAAGAAAATATCCATCACTATGACAAACAGGCATGATGATGAAACAAGGGTCTATGTATTGCTAGCCTTCCTAGTGAGATGCTGTAGCATATATGACATACATCATTGTCACTGGAACTATGCTAATCATTTTTGCTTTCATCACAGAAAATACTCCATGCCATCCATTTTGTCTTGCTTTAAATAGTCTTTTACCTGTCAACATTATCAGCCTTACTTTACACGAACTAAGAATGCATCAGCTGAATTTGCATAATATCTTTATATATTGTTCTTTATTTCAATCAACTTTTTCAGTTATAAATTGGTTGCATTTGCATCACACACTAGATTACCACATTAAACCTAGGTTTGTAGAAATCCAGTTATAGTGGTAAGAGGTTACAGGGCAAATGCTGTTTTTTCTTCATAATGGGAATTCATCACCACTATAATTATTTTTATATTCTTCTACAAAAGCTTAGCCTCTTTTCTGGATTACTCAGGATTTAGCATCCTAGCACAATGCAATGGCAACACCTCAGTAATATGGAAACCTACACATTATTGGGCCTCAGTAATATTAATGGGAAAGCACTAACAAACCCCACAGTTTTACACTAGAAAGAAATATAATACTAGAAAAAAGCAAAGATAGGTCATCTCCTCACTGTTGTCAAGAAAACTACATAAACACTATGTGTGTGTGTGTGTGTGTGTGTGTGTGTGTGTGTGTGTGTGTGTATCCATGAAGTCACTCATCCTAAAGATTTAAACTATGATGGGCTTCACTACAGACCACGAAGTCAAAAAAATCTAATTGAGATATAACTACTCATAGTAAGGCATGAAGCTCTGGTCAGCAGGACATTTAGAAAAATATGATTTACTACAGGAATATTTCTGAAATGACATTTTTAGTATACAAAAACACACAGGAGAAGCAAGATAGAATAAAATGTTAACCAACATGACAAATTCTGGGCATAAATCTTACTCCAACACAAGAAAGGGACAAAAAACGACTTGTCATTTAATTTGTTTTCAGATTTAAGAAGGTATAAACAGGAAAGAATTCAGAAGCTGAACGAAAACTGCAGTGGTAGAGAAGAGAGATGAGAAATTCCTTAAAAGAGTATATACAAAAGTTACAAAAATTAATTACTCCATTAGCATTTTTAACACTTGCAACAGTGCTGCTTTCATAACAAGATGGTGAATAACTCCTAAAGCAAAAGCTGGAAAATATATTAGTAGCTATAATTCAGAAAGTAAAAAGTTGCAAAATAATCATTCCAGTTGCAACAGGCAGTAATATTATGCACACTCACTTTACCAGAAAATCCCAGTGACAAAACAAACTCCAGAAAACATGGACAGAATAGGATGCTCAGGCATTTTTCTAGGTAGAAATGCATTAGTACCTTTTTTCCCAGGATGTTTTTTTTTTAAATCTCTCCACATATTTTCTGGTGGTTCCTCATCCAAGTATGAGTTATGTTAAACCCAGCTGAGCTTTTTCAACACAAGTCAAACTTCGGGGAATATACTGTATATATGCTGTATATACTGTATATAACTGTATATAATATACTGTATATAACCTATTATTTTCATATATGTACTTGTGCAACCACACATATCCTCAGCTCACAGCCCAGGTTCGAGACCTGAGTGCCGTGTGATGGGGTGAGATCCCATTAATTGGCCTAGCTGCTGCCCACCTAGCAGTTCGAAAGCATGTACATGCAAGTACCATTTCAGTGGGAAGATAACAGTGTTCCCTGCATATAGTCATGCTGGCCACATGACCACAAAAATGTCTTTGGACAATGCTGACTCCTCTGGCTAAAAAAAAATGGGAGATGAGCACCGCCCTCTAGAGTCAGACACAACTGGACAGGGGAAACCTTTACCTTTAGTGTTAGTGTTGCTATGTGTGTCTCTGTTTGTACACAAACACACACAACAACACTAATATGTAAATATAAATTATGTTCAACCCTGCTTACCTTTTTTCCACCAGATGCAAACTTCAGGGAATCTATCTATCTATCTATCTATCTATCTATCTATCTATCTATCTATCTATCTGTCTGTCTGTCTGTCTGTAAATATTCCTTTTTTTCGCCTTTTAGCTGTAAATAAAATGGAAACGTGTGTGTGTGTATATATATATATATACACACACATACATCCGTACATTTTTTTACATTTTGGATGGATGGATGGATGGATAGGTAGGTAGGTAGGTAGGTAGGTAGGTAGGTAGGTAGGTAGGTAGGTAGGTAGATAGATAGATAGATAGACAGATTAATTAATACACATGCAGCTAATGTCAAAGGGAGCCAGACAGTGAGCCCAACTTACCTGCAGACGGTAATGAGATTCCGTCTCTCAACGGCTGCGTTGCGGGCATAAATGCTCTTCCTGCGAGAAGCAGCGTTGAGACCCCCGAAGTTGAACGACGCCATCTCTCCGGCGAGGGCAAAGCAGACTTGTCAGCGCCTTTGTTCCAGAGGAGAGGGAGGGCGGGAAGGGGCTTACTCGGCCGCCACCGCTTCTTTTCAGCCCCAGATGCCACTTCGCGAGGAGATGGATAACTTTCTTTTTACGCAGCGAGTCACGGGAGTTCCGCGGCCGTCGCTCAGCCACCCCCTCACCTCCCTTCTTCTTTAAGGATGAGATCCCAGCAGCCGAACGCAGTCAAAGGGCCCCCCACAAAATTCCTTGCAGCAGCAGCAGCAGCAGCAGCAGCAGCAGCAGCAGCAGCAGCAGCAGCAATAACAGAGACCGCAGAGCACCGGCTTCGCCAGCCAATCCAGAGGGCGAAAGGGCGGGCCTTAAACGGGGATGCGTTTCTGAGGACCGGCTCGCGACTTCTCCCGCAACGGAAGCGCCTGTCAGGTAAAGCAGAAACCGAAGTAGATCGGGGGTCTTCGGATGGGCTGTGGGCGGAGCTAGCGTCCTTCCCCGACACGAAGTGGGTATTCTAACGGCGGTTGCTTCTTCTCCTCGCGCCAAGGGTTCGGAGAGAAAGGTTCTATTAGTGCCCGAGTCATTGTTTTGGAAAATCTGCAATGAGGGCGTAGCGGCAGAAATCCATCAAACATACAGAGAGGAACCCCAAATATATTCTTCTTTATGGTATGCAGCGCGGAAAGGCCGCCGGGAGAGTAAGAGATATACAGATCTAATACGGTTATCGCTCTACAGTTTTCTGCGTGTACCCAGTATTGCAAGCCTGTATTTCAATAAAATAAAATAGAATACCTTTATTGTCATTGCATTCCACGAATACAATGAAATTTGAAAGCTGCTCCAGCACAGTGCCCCCAACACCACATCACAATCATACTACAGAGTATTTAAAATAACAACAACAACAACAATAATAAATAGGACTAAATCACAAATGCACTGTTTGATTCAAGACAATTACTGCCTTGGAAAAGAAACTGATTCTCAATCTATTAGTCCTCATTTTAAAACACCTATAATGCCTCCCTGATGGTAACAGATCGAAATATGAATGTCCAGGATGAGAACAGTCTGTAGATTTTTAGTGTTCTAGAGAGGAGTCTGGTCTTCACAATCTCTTCCAAAGAAGAAAGAGAGCAGCCAATGGTTTTTTTTTTGTGCTATGTTTATAACTCTCTGTAAGGCTGTATACATAGAAAAAATAAAGACCCTCTCATTTCTGTCCCACAAGGATTCTTAGGTAATTTTCTTCTGTGATTAAAAAACAAATCCAATCTAGCCCGCAGTCATGAGATCTCCCAGTGGTCTCAACCAGGTGTTAACCAGTTCCTGTTTAGAGTTTTTTTCTCCTATTTCTTTCTTTTTCTCCTTTTCTTTTTGTTTTTTTCAGCCAATTTAGATACTATAATAGATTCAAGTTCTTAAAAAAAACTGGGATCCCAGAACCTCAAAGCATTAACCATATTTATTCTTGCATATAATTTGTAGTCAAGAATCCTGCCTAATTATAGACACGTTCAGACATGTAGTTGCGTACACAGAGAGATACAAGGGATTGTCAACCCCAACCAATTTCTCTGCCACAAAGAAGTAGAGTCTAGAAATTGTTATTTGTTCTTATATTTTTCCTTTCAGAGCTCAAGGTAAGACACCCTACAGGCTATTTCTCTCTTCACCAACTTTCCAAGTGGAAGTTGAGCTGAAAGTAGGGTTACTAGATATTCACTGAGGAGGATATATTGTCCTTTTGTCCTCATGTTTTCCATTCAGGAGACATAGCTTTAAAATCAGATATTATCCAGTTTTTTAATGTATTTTTTTTAAATAAGACTTTCTCATAACAGTACTCATTCAAATTTCCTTCTTCAGAAAACAAAATCCACTGCCTAGCTTTACATTATTTATTTCCAGCAATGGGCTTCAATCCTACCCCATCAAATTTAGGATCACTGTAGCTTGTAGATCACCTTAGTCATCATATATAATGATGGAAAAGTAATGTCATATACAGTACATGTTTGTTTTTTGCAGTTTTTGCTGTAATCTTGTCAAGGAAGTTAGCAGTGTGTTCTACTCCCCCACCCCCATTTGTCCCTTTCCCAATTATCTGTGCACTGTCCAGATATCTAGTCATCCTAGTTGTGAGAGAGCCATAGAATCCTAGTTGTGAGAGAGCCATAGAATCAATGTTGATGTCTCTGGCAGTCATAAACCTAGGTGATTCTGCCACTCTGATCAACATGCTAACTCAGCACACCTGGAGTTTATAAGAGAGCAGAAATGTGCCTGCATTGGGCAGGTTTATAAGAGAGAGAAATGGGCCTGCATTAGGTATAAAATTCTACTATTGGAAGTAGAATTGGAAGATAGTACTAAGCATACCCTCTAGCCTAATTTGTGTCACATAAACAACCTAACTATCCAATGTTTGAGTTAAAATTCAACCTCCTTAAATGGCTACTGTACATGAAGTGGTTTTGAGAGATCTTTCTCATCTTAGACAATCCAATATCACAACAAAATATAAATAGCAATAGCACTTAGACTTCTACACAGCTTCACAGTGCTTTGGTAGCCTTCTCTGAGTGGTTTACAGAGCCAGCATCTTGCTTCCAACAATTTGGATCCTCATTTTATCACCTTGGAATGATGGAAGGCTGAGTCAACCTTGAGCCGATGAGAACTGAATTGCCGAACTAAAGCCAACAGGGGGCAGAAGTAGCTTGTAGTACTGCTTTCTAACTACTGTGCCACCACGGCTCATAAATCATTATAAAATGCAAGGATCAACAATATAGCCCTGAATTAGAATCCGCAGTATTGTAGTCAGGCATCAACTCTCCAGATATTGAACTACAACAATTGTGTGCAATCCACCTTTTAGATAGATTGTAAACTGTTACAGCACCTAGTTATATGTATTTTTAGTTCTGTAAACTATAAAATAAAACAAAAATATAATAAAATAAGCAATTTGTTACCTATCTAAGGTCAAATTGGATAGAGTTTCTTTTCTTTAATCAACATATCAATGAATTTATATCTAATAACAACTACATACCATATTCATTTAGAATCATCATTCTTGATGAAGAAATCCATTTTGGATTTTAAAGCTTGACTTCATTGAAAAAAATATAAAAATATTTGGATTTAGCCCTAGGAGCTATAGAAATTCATTTTAAAGGTATTTTAGTACTTCTTTTCATAGTTTAATTCTAGTTATCATTAAAAACTAAACATCTGGCATATGAAAGAAATAAAACAATGATACTCATCAAGTATTCACTTAAATGGCTTAGAATAACAATTAGATGTTTGATTTAGATGCAAGGACTAATTTGAGAAAGAAAAATATGATTTCAGAATCAAGCATATTCTTTCTGATTTCTGATATCTAATTTCTGAGATAAGTAAATCAAATAAACAATAAAAAGCAAGTTAAAAAGATATGGGTTCATAAATGCATATGATTCTGCTTTGGATTTCAGCACTATCATATGATATACTCATAGTTCATGATATAGTATGACAGGACAGTGCAAACCCAGACATTTGCATCTGATTCAGCAAGCCAGAATTTAGCAATCCATGAAATAACATGAAATGATAACCAAATTATGCATTCAAAGGTACTGGGAACTACCAATGTTATTTCCAGTGATTATTAAGTTATTAATCCTGGCATGTATATTTGCCTTCAATCACGTGTATTATAGTACAGTTTAAGAATTTTACAAGAATCGGGGTGGGATTCTAGCAGTTCGCACTTATTCGCTAGAAATGGTTGTTAACATTCTAAGCAGTTCAGAGAACTGATTGTTAGAAGAAATTACTGGCCTAATCCTGTAAGGAAGGCAGGAAGGAAACATTCTGATGTTGCTTACAGAAACTGCCTCTCTGTTAACCCTTATTATATTCTTGGCAGGACTAGACTCCCTGTCTCTGGAACTTCTCTGGAGTTTTTTCCCCTCCTTTGCTGGTACTTTGCTTGTGTGGAATGACCATTTAAAGTTACAATGGCACTGAAAAAAGTGACTTATGATGATTTTTCACATTTACGACTGTTGCAGCATCCCCACAGTCATGAGATGCCAGGTGAGGAGATGCATGCCTCAATGTGAGTGATATTGAGTTGGCCATGCCCTGCCAATAACATGACCACCAAGCCACGCCCACCAACTAAGCCATGCCCACAGAACCAGGGGTGTTTGAATCCCACCCCTGACAAGAATATACCAAAGTAATGACTTCCGGTTTGCAGGGCTTTGGCGGCAGGCAAGAATCCACGATCGTGCGCAGTTTCTGCCTGGGCTCGCCGCTGGAGCACCCCGAGCCAGCTGGCTTCGGGGCTAAGCCACCCCGTAGAGGTGGTGAAGAGGGGGAGATCGCCAACAGGGCCGAGGGGAGCAGCATCTCTTCTCCTCAGCTGGCCAAACTCCCTTTCCCAAAGGTGGTAGGAGCAGTGGTCAGAAATGGCCACCTAAGAGAAGCACTCAACCGGAAAAGAAAGTGCAGGAGGAAGATAAGAAGTGAAAGTTTTGGCTGACTGGGTTGAAAAGCAACAACTAAGGTACCCTGGAATTTAAATTTTACAAAAGATAACATCGCTTCCAAAGAAGAGTCGGAAGCAGTGAAAGAAAGTGAAACGGGAAAGTTTTTTTTTCTTCTCTCTCCTTCCTTATACTGACAATTAAGAGATCTGAATAAGAAATTGGAAAACTCCGCTTTGGCATCAATAGGCAATTAAGCTGAAAATATAATTAAATGCCAAAGGGACAATAAAGATTTCTGGATACTAAAAAAATTTTTTTTCTATAAGCAGGAAGGGAAAGGAAAAGAATGAGGGCAGGATCTGGAGGGAGAAGATTGCCTGGATTTCAAAAAAATCTAAAGTAAAATCTCAATAAGACTTCTAAAAGATACATTTTAACTGGAACTTTGTAACTAAATAGCAACCCCAGAAAGAGAAAGTGAAAAAAGAAGAAAGTGTAAAAAGAAACAGCTTGTGTGTATTTGGATTGCTTGGTGACTTTTGGATTTTTGGGTATTATATTTGAATGACTAAAAACAATTGGGTGGCTGTTTAAATTTTTTTTACAATGGCATCACTTCTGAATGAATTGAAAATGGAACTTAAAAAATATAAAGAAGAGGCACAAGAAGGGAAGGGCTCTTTTG